GACAGAGGGGAGAGGCCTGCACTCTGGGAGGACCCAAGACGCGGACGAGCCAGGACCGCTGTCTGCGTCCTCATCGGCCACGCGCGGACCGTGAGGGCGGCCCTAACGCCTCCGCACGTGCCAGCCCCCAGCGGGACTGGAGGACAGGCGCGCGGAGATGCGAACGATCCTGTAACTTACGAAGCGGCCGTTTCCTGAGAGCTCCCTAAGGCCCTCCATCCGCACAGCCCGCGCCTGGTCCTTATCGAAAGTGCGCTCGCACAGCTGCGGACCAGGGAGTGGAGGCTCAGAGAGGGAAAGCAGGGGTCCCGAGTCACACAGCGTCTGAGCGCTGGGCCCGCTATCTGAACGCTCTGTCACCGCCTTGCTTTCCGTCACAGACTCCAGGTCCACCTGCACATCAGACCTCGCTGCACGACACCCAGCGACCTCCGGGGGACCGTACGCTGTCCCCTCGACGGCAGCACAAAGACCGGGAATGCGCGTCGGGACTGATGGGCAAAACCGCCTCCAGAGCACGGTCCAGCCGGCGTCACGATTCCTGCCCACGTCCTAAAGTCCACTCCTCACTCTGCAGAAGCGAGAACCCGTGGCCAGACAAGGGGGTCTGCGCAGATGGTGGCTTTAACTCCACAGAATAAGTGACACCGCCCACCCCGCACACGCACTCCTTGGAAATTCTGGATGAGTGACAGGTCAAGGTCAACAGCAACAGGACGTTTGTTTGTAAAAGGCCACCGTCTACAGGGGCCGTCACCTCTGCAGCCTAGGAGTCTTCCCAGAGCCAGCGGAAACTCCCCTCTGAGTAAGCACGCGAGGAGCATCATGACGGACAGTCTCGTGAACCAATCAGGACGCAGGGGGCATGACTGCCCTCAAGGGAAACACAGACAAGACCCTCCTCGGAGGCAGCCAGAGGCGTCCCCGTGTCCCCAGCACCCGGCACAATGGCAGTTCCTTCAATGGGGGCAGGACACGCGGCCTCGCCCTACCAGGCGAGGAGAGAGGCGCTGGCCCATACTTACTGGGGGCTGAAACTCCAGGCATTCCTCCTCAAAGTCAGGGTCTACCTGATGGGAAAGAATCATCGGGAAATTAAAACACCCGCCGATTTCTCACGGGCTCGGCCCCCACTCGTGGGAGACGTCAAGGCCTGCGGGCGTCGCTCAGCAGCTGAGGACGCGTCCCTTCCCTCTGTTCACGAAACCAGCATGCCACAACGACACACGTCACAGGAGCACACCACACCACAGGTGCACACCAGGCCACAGGAGCACACCAGGCCACAGGAGCACACCAGGCCACAGGTGCAGGACACGCCACAAGTACACGACACGCCACGGGTGCAGGAGACGGCCGGCACTCGGGCACGGACAGCAGAGCGAGAACTCGCTAGCAGAACAGCCGTGAGAAGCCCGAGACACCGGCAGACCAGCTGGTCCGGTCACAGACCTCAGGAGGCACACGCGCCTCAGAACGTGGCGAGCCCCACGGTCTCGGCCGAGCCGGGGGACCGCCCGAGGCTCCGTGTCAATTTAGTCTGGTCCTCAGCGCTCACATATTTCAAAGCCACCAGTTCGTACGCGTGTCGGGCTCCCAGGGGGCTGGGTACATGAGATTCGGGCTTCCCCGGTCAGCTGTGGGCCAGGCTCCTCGAGAATCTCTGAGCAGCCCCTCTGCTGGCCCCGGGCAGCGAGGTGTTGTCTGATGTACGCCTGGGCCCTGATGCGAACATGCATCCTACAGGTTGCGGCAGATCAGAGTGAAACTCGACATCTGTCACCCGGGAGGATGGCAGGCTCCTTGGCACAGAAATTAAGAGGTAAACTCTTGCCCTTGGACACTGAGTCTTGCCTTTCTTCCAACACCCTTCCCAGCCATGTCTCCGATGTTGGCTTCTCGAGAGCAGAAGATGAGGTCCTGCCTACGCCACGAATGCTCTGAGAGCCAGGTGCTCACGGAGCTAACCGTGCCTCACTGCTGCCAGCTTCCCGTGCCAGGCGTCAGGACAGTGTGCCCTGGTCATTCCCGTCAGGAGCGGGCGGAAGGGGGAGATGTGGGGAGAGCGGTGTGAATGAGCAAAACGGAACAACTGTCCTACACCCAGACTACCGTGTTTTTTTGTTTTTGTCTTTTAAATCTACTCTTGTAGCAGCTGTCAAATATTCAGTGCAGCATTACCACTGCAGTCACCACACTGTCCCTCACATCCCCAGGACAGCACTGCCTTCTGGCTAACGTTCTCCCCACATCTTGGTGGAAATCGGTGTGAAGTCCTAGGCGTGTAACCACCGTTCGTTACCTTTTCTTTTCTGTACGCAGGGAAAGGAGGCAGAGGAAACAGAAGCAGGACGAGGAGCGAGGTGTCTGCAGGACCTAAGTCCTCGGCGGCCCAGTGCCCGGGTGGGGCGGATGGGGGCAGCGTCCGCCTGGAAGGAGGAAGCCTGCTGCCACTCACCTCTGCGGCCAAGTAGTGCCCGGTGGCCAGGTGCTTGAACCGGAAGAGGCTGTTCCAGTACCCGGCGCCTCCCCGACACGGGTCGTGCTGGACCACCTGGGAGAGGGGGAGGTGGTCAGGGTGCGAGAGGTGTCAGCCACGCCAGGACATCGCACACAAATCACAGTCCAGCCGAGACATGGACCAGCTGACACACCCAGACAGACACACGGAAACGCTAGCAGTACATCTCCCGGGACCCCGCATCTCCCGGCCAAGGGAGCGGCTGCAGCGAAGAGATCGGTGGTTTTGAGGGTTTGCTTCATCATCATGAAGGATAAGCTAAGATGCTGAAACTCACCCACAGGGGGCACGAGAAATGTAAGGGGATTTCGTGAGGGCAGGGAAAGCAGTCGATCCACGGAACCCCGTGCAGAAACACCACACCACCTGGGCCTGCGCTCAGAGCCGGACCAGCTGGCCTTAAAATTGAACAGAACTTCAACCCTGGCCCGTGTTGCTCAGTGACTGGAGCATCAGCCCGCTCGCCAAAGGGTCTTGGGTTGCAGGTTCGATCCCCGGCCCTGGTTTGGGCGCATTCGGGAGGCAACCAATCAATGCGTGTGTGTGTCTCTCTCTCTCTCTCTCTCTCTCTCTCTCTCTCGTTGATGTTTCTTTCTCTCTCTCTCCCCCCTGCCCCCTCCTTTCTACTCTCTCTAAGAATCAATGGGAAAATAGCCTCTGGTGAGGATTAAAAAAATAATAAAAACATAAGTGAACAGAACTTCAGCTTCTGGTCACGATGGGACCCTGGCACGGGCAGTCGGCGCCATAACCAATAAGACGCTGCACAAAACCTCTGGCCTCGCCAGGGACAACTAGAAACCAGGAGGAAAGGCGTGAGCGGACGGGGCCCCCTGCTGGACGCGGGCTGCAGAGCTGTGCCTCCGAGGAAGGGAAGGAGGTCTCCGCATGTCCGCTCCCTCCCGAGGGGCCTCTGGGATGGAGACCCAGGAGGGCGCGGGCCCACTGAGTCGAGGAGGTAGAGTAGAATTAGGGAGATGGAGGCGGCTGGGATTTGGGGGAGCGGGGGGCGGGGGGGAGGATACAGAGCCACCAGGACAAAAAGCTCCAGAAATCTCCGAAGCCTCCTTGAGTCGTTGGCTGGATGCCAAGCTGCGTCTGTGTAAGGCGAGGCCCCACAAGGCCAAGGACGACAGGGGAACTCCGAGTGCCACGTCCCCAGGGCCCCTCGGCGCTGGGCGCTGCTCGCCTCTCGTGTGCCCTCACACCTCTCGTGTGCCCTCACACCTCTCGTGTGCCCTCACACCTCTCGTGTGCCCTCACACCTCTCGTGTGCCCTCACACCTCTCGTGTGCCCTCACACCTCTCGTGTGCCCTCACACCTCTCGTGTGCCCTCACACCTCTCGTGTGCCCTCACACCTCTCGTGTGCCCTCACACCTCTCGTGTGCCCTCACACCTCTCGTGTGCCCTCACACCTCTCGTGTGCCCTCACACCTCTCGTGTGCCCTCACACCTCTCGTGTGCCCTCACACCTCTCGTGTGCCCTCACACCTCTCGTGTGCCCTCACACCTCTCGTGTGCCCTCACACCTCTCGTGTGCCCTCACACCTCTCGTGTGCCCTCACACCTCTCGTGTGCCCTCACACCTCTCGTGTGCCCTCACACCTCTCGTGTGCCCTCACACCTCTCGTGTGCCCTCACACCTCTCGTGTGCCCTCACACCTCTCGTGTGCCCTCACACCTCTCGTGTGCCCTCACACCTCTCGTGTGCCCTCACACCTCTCGTGTGCCCTCACACCTCTCGTGTGCCCTCACACCTCTCGTGTGCCCTCACACCTCTCGTGTGCCCTCACACCTCTCGTGTGCCCTCACACCTCTCGTGTGCCCTCACACCTCTCGTGTGCCCTCACACCTCTCGTGTGCCCTCACACCTCTCGTGTGCCCTCACACCTCTCGTGTGCCCTCACACCTCTCGTGTGCCCTCACACCTCTCGTGTGCCCTCACACCTCCCGTGTGTCCTCACTCCCCGCCCCCGTGTGCCCTCACACCTCTCGTGTGCCCTCACACCTCCCGTGTGTCCTCACTCCCCGCCCCCCGTGTGCCCTCACGCTCACCCCCTTGAGTATGTCCTCCTTGTTGTCGCTCCACTTCATGAACAGCACGACCTTCCAGCTGGTGTTGCAGTTGACGGAATTGACCTGGAGGAGAAGCAGTTCCCTGCTCACACCCTCTCAGCCCCAGACCCCGAGGGCCGACACCCTAAGGCAGGAGTCTTCAAACTTTTTAAACAGGGGGCCAGTTCACTGTCCCTCAGACCGTTGGAGGGCCGGACTATAGTTTAAAAAAAAACTATGAACAAATTCCTAGGCACACTGCACATATCTTATTTTGAAGTAAAAAAAACAAAACGGGAACAAATACAATATTTGTATTTGCATGTGGCCCGCGGGCCGTCGTTTGAGGACCCCTGCCCTAAGGTCACAGGCCGTGCGGTAGGAGCGTCAGGCAGTCAAGGGCCCGTGTGAACCAATCACGGTGTCCGCTCCACGGGACCGCGGGCGCCAGGCTCCTGCTCCCCTGGAACCACAGCCCCTCCTTTCTCCAGGCCTCTTCTGCCGCCAGAGAGGAAAGGCCCGGAAAACACGCGCTCACCAAGGGGACGGACGCACGGTAAGACAGCGTCAGTGTCTGCACTGAAATGCCAGCGACACACAAGCGTCTGTGGGCACAGGGACACCCGCGAGAACCTCCAGGCCCCAGCCATGCCCTCCACACAGGAGCGCCCATCGCGCCCATTTCAGAGACAGGAACACTGATGCCCGGGAGTCTCGGTGACGGACCCGCAGCCACAGAGCTGGGGGCAGACTTGGGATTCGAACCCTCATCTATCTGACTCGAGAGCTGTGTCCTCAACCACTAGACAGCTATTTATGTCACCGCTGTCCCTGTCCGGGGTCCCGTGACTGCCCGCTTAGAGGCGAAGAGATGCACAGCCAGAAGCAAGCGCCGCCCCGCGGGGCTGCTGGGGGCGCAGCGTGTCCGAGAAATTAGCAAAGGGCACTCTCTTAAGAAGACAAACTAGAAAACGGTGCCCTTCGGCCAGCAAATTCAGTCAGGGGGTCCCGTCTCTAGCTTAACCCACGGGAACCGGTCCCCAGTGACATAGGCTCCGTTCACTGTGCCCAGGGGTGACGGTCAGCCCCACCCCCACCCACTGCACAGCCCGGCACAGCCTCC